AACAGCACATGTACGAGATCAGGCACAGATGTCACTGGTGGGGCGGCACAAAATAAGAAAGAAGGAGCCAGGTGCTGGTGACAGTTATCTTACAAATAACAGGAAGGTAGAAGAACAGACCACAGAGATTGCAGGAAATATAAAAGATAGAAGCGCTATTGTAAAGCACTGAGCAAACTGTTGGCGCTATATACCGTATTTGCCGGCGTATAAGACGACTGGGCGTATAAGACGACCCCCAACATTTCCACTCAAAATATAGCTGCCGTATATTATATGTTATATACTCGCCGTATAAGACTACCCCCCCCCCTCTTTCTTTTTGCTGGTGCCATGATAGGGTTGATAGGGGTTTGACTGCTGGACATTTTCTATGCTGTATTGTACTGTACAATGGTCCAGTACTGTGGTTGGCTGTTGGCTGTATACAAAGCCTGATTGGATTGGTCCCTGCTCCCTGTCTGCCCTCCCTGTCTCCCTGTCACTACCATGTCCCTGCATCTCCCTATAATTGGCACTAGTGCGCAAGTCCGCATGTGCGAGCCCTGCGTAGACAAGGGGCGGGCCGGAGCGATGCTGCTTCCCGCCGAGCAGAACGGGCTGGTCACGCTGAAAAGGCTGGCACCCCTGTATCGCTGCTGATGCTCGCCGCAGCCACGCTGATGACCCGCCGCGGCCTCACTGGATACCGTGCGATACTTTATGGTATGTAGAACGAGGTGGGCGGGCACCGCGCAAGTATCGGAAGGCCACTATGGCAGCTATGTCTATTGCAACTGAAGTGCACCCGGCGTATAAGACGACCCCCCCACTTGGAGGCATGTTTTTCAGGGCAAAAAAAGTCGTCTTATACGCCGGCAAATACGGTAAATCCTGTATAATAATAATAATAATAATAATAAAAGCAACGACTACAAAGTTTATTGGTTGTAAAAAAAAATTAACAATGCAGTGCTGCTGGTAGTTTTATTAAAGTGGAGCTCCACCCAAAAGGGGAAGTTCCACTTTAAAGACTGGTCCCCCACTCCCAGTTAAGGAGTGGCACCTTTGGGGAGCGGGTACCCAAAATTGACAGGTACTCACACTCACTTCCGCTGCAATCAAAAGCAGAAATTGTCCCACATAGTCTTCTGGGACACGTGACAGGTCCCAGAAGACTACGGGACCACTAACAAAGCGCAGAGCTACTCGCGCGTGCGCAGTGAGCACCCGGCTGTGAAGCTGAAAGCTGTCTCAGCCGGGTGCCCACACCAGGAACACAGGGCAGCCAGTGAATTGGGCTGCGGGGGGGGACACGGCAGGATAGAGGGACAGGTAAGTGTCTATTTTTTAAAAGTCAGTGGCTACAGTTTGTGTAGCTTCTGACTTTTATTTGTTTTTTTAATTTCACTGGAACTCCGATTTAAAGGGGGTGGGGGAAGGTCCACTTTATAAACATTTCCCCATTTATGCAAACTCACTAAGAATTTATATTCAAAAAATGATTGTTTGAACCCACAAATGATTTTACACCACTGCTTTCCATTTGTACTGACAAAAATAGTGAATGTAAAAATGTCGAAGTCTACACAGTGGCAGATCACTACAGACCTGTGGCTTCAGAAGAGTTGTCTGCCCGCCGGCCCTGTTTGAGGATGATGATCACCAGGAGCGGACTGACCATTTGGAAACTTGGGCACTGCTCGAGGGCCTTGGGTCAGTAAGGAGCCCCATGAGATGCCCCTGGTACCTTTTTCATAGGCTTTATTGGGTGTGGTTTGAGTTTGGGCAAGGACACAGGGGCTCCATGATCCCCTATTGCCCGGGGGCCCCATGAGTTGTCAGTGCGCCCCTGATCATCACAGCTTTATGACCTTTCCAGCGTTTAAAGTGATTCTAAGGGCCAGTTCAAATTACATGCATTTCAGTTGCTTTTTTTTTTTTCTGCACCCAAAACACACAGAAAGTAGGTTATATGGTTGTCAATGTCATAGTTCACATCAGTGCTTGCAGTTCCAGTGCGTTCCGGATGCAGATAAAAAAGTAGAACAGGCTGCATTTTTCCTTTACAGAACTGTACTGGAACGTGGTAAAATGCATCAAAAACGTATCAAAAGCACACTGGAATTCAAATGTCCCTATTTAAATGGAAGAAAAAGAGGGGAAAAAATTAACTCATCAAACACACACTGGAATGCATCAAAACGCACCAGAACGCTCCAAAAACGCTCCAAAAACGTATCAAAGGAGAATGTCACCAGCACACTAAGGATCACCATAGAAATGCAGCCCAGATGCATTCCGGATGCGTGTTTTTGATGTGTCTTTAAGTGTACAATCCCAATGCACACGTTCCTGTGTTAAAAATAGCTGTGTGTATAGGTGGATGCTGCAGCAAACATTGGCTGGAACAAAACAGAATCAGCAAGGGAGGATGTCACCAGCACACCGAGGATCACCAATATGGGTCCAAAAGTTTATATGAACATTGGTGATCCTTGGTGTGCTGGTGACATTCTCCCTTACTGATTCTGTTCGGTTCCAGCCGATGGTCGCTGCAGCACCCACCTATACACACAGCCATTTTTAACACAGGAACGTGTGTGTCAGGATTCTACACTTAAAAACACATGAAAAAAGTGCATGCAGAAATGCATCTGGAACGCATCTGGACTGTGTTTCTATGATGTGAATCAGCCTTAAAGCTTCCATTTTTTTTAATAACAAACATGTCAATACTTGCCTGCTGTGTGCAGTGGTTTTGCACAGAGCAGCCTGGATCCTCCTTGGGTCCTCCACTGGCGCTCCTGGCCCCTCCCTTTTGCCGGGTGCCCCCAATGCAAGCAACTTGTTATGGGGGCACCCGAGCATGCGCACTCCCCAGCCCCTGCTCTGCTTCACACACAGTGCCTTGGTAGTTCATTGAGAACTACAAGCCAACATCCACAAAGGATGTCAGTACTTGTAATTCAGAACTCTGTGAATGAATTCCGTGCTGTCTCGGGGGGAGGGGGAGGATTGGGCAGTGGCTGCAGCACTGGGAACATGTTCCATCCTAAAATTCCCAAAGGTGAACTTATCCTTTACTGTTGCTTTCATGAGCTATACCCTTGAGTGAAAGTTGGGTCAGTTCTGTCCGGCATTCATGGCAAGGGCAGGTCTTATAGACTTTGTCGTTACCATTCATGTGTGCCCACAGTATAACTAGGACTGGCACTGGTTGAGGTAATATGTTGGAACTTTCAAATAAAGTCCAGAAATGTTACAACTGATGACACCTTGATACAGTGTTAACATCACAGAGGTGTCACTGCCACCATACCTAATGTGACATTCTTATTCACTGGCCAAAAGGCAGAAGAACCTTGATTGCTAGATAGGGAACTGCAATAAAGTTTGTTGGATTGGAAAAAGTGAGTGGATACCTGTGAGTTTGCAAGGAGAACTGAAAAACATGCCCTGTTAAGAGGCCCGCAGATTGAGCAGCACTGTTTTAGCAGCTGAAGGCTGTGTTTAACAAGTATGATTCAGTTTAACATTTCAAGTTCTCCTGTTCATATCAGATGTGCTGTAGCGCTCCCCTCATCCAAACAGATGCATGCAATGACCTTTAAGCCCTGTCAGCTGCAGGCGGTGGGGAGAAGTGTCAGAAGGATAGCAAAAGCACAGAGGGATTTTGACAGAAAGGAGGGAGCTGATATTTACCATCAACTTGTGGTTGTGAAAGGTCGACAAATTAGATATTGTAGGAATTCCCCGGAGAGGACTGAAACATCCTTTGAATACATTTTGGAGCGTGCGGTTAGAAAAAAGTACTACATTTCATAAAAGAAAAAAGGAAAGTGTGATCCATTGGAGCGTTTACTGTCTAAGAGCTTCAGGTATTTCTGGTTGAATTGTGGACATTAGAACTTAACATGTCACGGAAGTTACTGGGATCATACAGAGAATAAATGGCACCACTGGTTTCTATTAGAGAGGACTTGTCATGCCGAATGTTAAAATATACCACTGCAGAAGAGATCTGCAAAGCATTATTTGCCTTAAAACGAAGCATTTAATGAAAACACAACCCCATCTGTTAAAAGGATTGTTGGGTCCTTGTGTCAATAGAAGTCAGGTACAAATTGAAGGTGTAAAACCTATCATACCTACCATAACTGATCAGGTTTGAATCAAGTTGAAAGATGACCTCAGGCATGTTCAGACACAGGAACCCACCTGAGCTATCCCAACATGAAGCTGTCAAAATCAACAATCAATCATAGGCTGCAGAAACAGCTACACATATGCAAGGCGCGTGCATATACGCGAATGTGGGTTCATGTCCAAACCCGCCTGAGCTCATCACTGATCAGGATACTATCTGTAAATGCCTCTCTAGTGTAGACATGCAGAACACTTAAGACTTCTGCTGGGTACTGCCATCTTGAATGTGATGTCAACATCCCCACCAGGCTCAGAAATGACATTCTATAGTATCCCCCTTGCTCTTTCCCTGGCTGCTACATGCTTTTACCTCCATTTTTTTTAAGTTGGTGACCCTAAACTCCAGAAGCAGTGCCCAAAAAAGGACAAAGGACTAAGTTACCACTAATGCCTGTAGACTCCCTGATAGTTACATAGTTAGTCTGGCTGAAAAAAGACAAAAGTCCATCCAGTTCAACCAAAAAAAAAAAAAAAAAAGTAATCCTACATTCACAGTTAATCCAGAGGAAGGCAAAAAAACCACCAAAGCATGATCCAATTTGCTCCTGCAGGGGAAAAAATTCCTTCCTGATCCCCTGAGAGGCAATCAGATATTCCCTGGATCAACCTTACCTATAAATGTTAGTATCCAGTTATATTCTGTGTATTTAGGAAAGAATCCAGGACTTTTTTAACTGCCTCCCGCCTGCCATATAGTAATATGACGGACGCAAGGTGGTTCTCTCTCTCTTGAAGGACGTCACATGACGTCCTTCCATTCTAACCGCGCATGCGCGGCTCCTGGAGCGCACAGCGCGACGATCGGTGGTGCGCTGTGTCCCTCAGACACAGCGGATCACCGATCCACGGACCAAGCTAAACATTTCGGCTCGGTCATGTGATCAGCTGTGTCCAATCACAGCTGATCACATGTAAACAGGGAAATGCACAGGGAAATGCATTTCTCTCCCCACGAGCCGTCACACTGACAGCTCGTGAGGAGAGGAGAGCCGGTAATCGGTATTCCTCAGAGGGGACATGTACAAAGATCATCAGAGCACTGATAATCAGTGTGCCCTGATGATCTGTGTAGCACCAGCAGCGCCACCTGTCAGTGTCCATCAGTGCCAGCTCTCAGTGCTCATCCATGCCACCTGCCAGTGCCCATCAGTGACACATCATTGCCACATCAATGCCACATATCAGTGCCCATCTGAGCTGCCTTTCAGTGTCATCCATCAGTGCCAGTCAGTGCCATCTATCAATGCCAGTCAGTGCCACCTATCAGTGCTGCCAATCAGTGCCACCTATCAGTGCCAGTCAGTGCCGCCTATCAGTGTGCATTAGTTCCGCCTATCAGTGTGCACCAGTGCCGCTTATCAGTGCCCGTCAGTGCTGCCTATAAGTGCCGCCTAACAGTGCCAGTCAGTGCCACCTAACAGTGCCGCCTATCAGTGCCAGTCAGTGCCGCCTATCAGTGCCATATATGAGTGCTGCCTTTAAGTGCCCATCAGTGATGCCTGTCAATGCCCATCAGTGCCACCTACCAGTGCCTCCTCATCAGTGCCACCTATCAGTGTCCATCAGTGCAGCCTATCAGTGCCCATCACTGCAGCCTCATTAGCGCACATCAGTGAAGGAGAAAAATCACTTATTTACAAAATTTTATAACAAAAACTAAGAAAAATCTTTTTTTTTCAAAATTTTCAGTGGTTTTTGGTTTGTTTAAGAAAAAATAAGAAACCCAGAGGTGATTAAATACCACCAAAATAAAGCTCTATCTATCACAAAAAAAATTATAAAAATGTCATATGGGTACAGTGTTGCATGACCGCGCAATTGTCATTCAAAGTGCAACATCGCTGAAAGCTGGACATTGGCCTGGGCAGGATGGGGGTGTAAGTACCCTGTAGGCTAGTGGTTAAATCAATCCACTAAGCTGGCCAGAACCAACTCTTGAGGGAGTATATGCCACATTTTCACAGTTCTTACCATGAATAAACCTTTCCATATTTGGAGATTAAATTTATTTTCCTCCAGATGTAAAGAGTGCCCCCTTGTCCTCTGTGATGACCTCAGGGTGAATAACTCTACACCGAGTTCACTATATGAACCACTGATGTATTTATACATGTTGATCATATCCCCCCTTAATCTCCTCTTCTCAAGAGAGAATAAATTCAGTTCCTCTAATCTTTCCTCATAGCTGATCTCCTCCATGCCTCTTATCAGTTTGGTTGCCCTTCTCTGTAGTTTTCTGCAGTTCCTCAATGTTCTTTTTGTGAATTGGTGCCCAAAACTGAACTGCATATTCCAGATGAGGTGTTACTAATGATTTGTACCGGGGTAATATGATATCTCTCTCTCTGGAGTCTATACCTCTTTCAATGCAAGAGAGGATTTTGCTCGCTTTATAAACCGCAGCTTGGCATTGCATGATGCTGATCCTTTTCCAATTAATAACTTGCCTTGCCTTGTTCTGCATGATCAGTGTTTTAGTTTGAAGGAAGCTTAGTAGAGAGCATGGCTTTGCTTCCAAATGTCAGAGCTGCCCCTCTGGTGACTGGTGACCTGAAGGCTGTTGGGAAATTATCCAGAAGCAGCAGAAAAGGAGAAGACACAGATCTACAGAATGAGAAAAGCTTTACTTTTTTTTAGGTCCACTTTAACCTGCCAGATTGACTGCTATGTTAGCCCTGGCATTGTAACAAACTCCTGTCTGATTGTTTAGGTCTTTACCATCTTTCTAGTAGAAGTGATACAGCCACCATCTGCCTGACTCACCACCTTCCTCCATTTGTCCCAGACTACCTGGCCCTCCTGGGTGCCTTTGACCACCATGTCGGGTATCAGGATGAAGAGTGGCCCCCCTGTAAAGACTGCCCTCTGAGTGCTCAGCTCTGACCACTTCCAGTTTCAGAGCTGTCAATCTCTGGATACTCAGGCCAGGAAATAAGCAATTGGAGTGCAGTCTGGCATCGGCAGAGTACAGGGGTGATTTTAGGGGTTTCCTAAAAAGAACCTGTCCCCGACACCATACATTCATAAAGAGGGTTTACAAGCCCCCTTGTGATAGCAACAAAGGTAAGGTGATAAAAAAATTAAGTTTAATAAAAGGAATAAAAGCACCCCCCAAAAAATGTATACGCTCCCAGCCCCTACATACACATTTATATGAACACAAATGCCCTCATTGGATGTGTACGCATAGGAAAATGATGATTGCACCACACTCACTCCATGCAAGCTGGAGTAAGAACAAAAATGTAGTGCCATCATTAATTGTCAACTCTAAACTGATGAGTTGTAAAATCTTTTAAAGTGTTAGCCATGGACAGTTTTGGGTTCTGTAGTTTTTATCTATTTCACAGAAACGCTCAATTTTGGTATTTTTTACACAACCTCATCTTTTATATTTTTCCAAAATAAATTGTAGATAATGTGTTTTGTGTGCAATGAAATCAATTTGGATGATTTAATTACTGAAAATATAACAGTTGCACAAATATGTGACATTAACAATTGCAACTGCCACCGTTTTATTTTACTTGGTCTCCGCTTTCACCAAAAAAAAGTGCATTTTAATGTATACAAAACAAAAAAGGCTCCAGCAGTGAAAGGGGTTAAGGGTTATACATATCTTTCCTTGCGCCATAGAGATTTTTGCTGTGTGACCGACTGGGAGCGGGGCTGCAGAATCTTCCAACCATGCTCTTCTTTCACATGTGCTGTACTGGGAAGGAAGACTAGGGTGCTTCCTAGAAGTGAGGAAAAGTTTTTGTACTTAGGCCCCTTTCACACGGGCGTTCCGTATGTCCGTTTTTCATCTGTCCATTTACAGATGAAAACCGGACCCCCATGTATCTCTATGGACATGCGGATGTAAACGGATGAACATCTTTTTACATCTGTTAATGTCCGCATCTGTTAACATCCGTTTTTTTTGAACGGACGAAAACCCTATTTTTCATCCAGAAAAAAACCCAAAACGAACAAAAAACGAATGTCAATGGTTGTAAACGGATGTAAATGGCCCAAACACTGATGTAAATGGATGAAAATTGATGTAAATGGATCTAAATGGATGAAAAACGGATGTAAATGGATCTAAATGGATGAAAAACTGACCAGTGTAAACAGATGAAAAATGGATGTAAATGGATGAAAAACAGATGAAAAAAAGGATGTAAACGGATGAAAAAATGGATGTAAACTCATCTTTATTTGAAAAAACATGCCTGAACTGAAGAAAAAAACACACAAAACGCCCGTATGAAAGGGCCCTAAAGGTAGTAGTCCTCCATCCCCCATAATGACGCAGGAATGCATGGTTATCTCTCAATGTTTGATGAGAAAAATCAGCTGTTTCCCTTTCCCTTTTTCCTGCTTATGAACTGCCATGACAAGATTTGCTACACTAAGCTGCATATGACCTTTCCAAACCAAATTGTAATCCATGTTAGGAGTTTCCTTAGCAATATTCCTATCTGTAATGTTAATACAATGCAGTACAAATAATTCAGAATACATATAAACCTGTACAAGCCCCAGTGATCAGTGTGATAATATATACAGCAATATATAAAGCATCATTAATTATTACATATACAGATAATTTGATTCATTATTTTACAGATGATAAACAGATACCAATACTCCCTCATAATCTAGTGACATAACACTTTAATGGCTAAACTTCACCTTCATTAAAAAAAAGCACAAAATGCACATATTTTAGCAGGAAAATAAAATGTCCGTTTTTTTTCATAGGAACCTGCAAAGCATTGCACCTGTGATCAGTGGATCTCGGGTGCACTGTCAGGCTTTTACAAGCTCTTCCTCTGGCTCCTTGCCCGCGCCTCTCAACCTTCAGTTACTGAGCTGGAGGAAGTGTCAAAGAACCACGAGCGTGGTGATCACCGCACTTGTATTCTACTGAGAGCCACATGCCAGGGTTGCCACCTCATCCCTTTAAAACTGAACACATATTAATTACACAGGTTCTGTGGCTGATTAAGGTGGTAATTCAACTCACCTAGTGCCTTATCTGCATTAAATTAGCCTCAGAACTTGTGTCATTAACCACTTGCCCTCCAGTGGATTTACCCCCCTTCCTGACCAGGCCATTTTTTGTGTTACGGTGCTGCGCTACTTTGACTGACAATTGCGCAGTTACGCAACGTTGCACCCAAATGAAATGTACGTCCTTTACGTCCTCCTGTGCAGGTTTTATTTTTTGCGCTATAAAAAAAGACCGAAAATTTTGAGAAAAAAAAAACAATATTTTGGACTTTTTGCTATTAAACATGGCCAGTTGAAAAAAAATTTAAAAATCTAATTTCTTCATAATTTTAGGCCAAAATGTATTCTGCTACATGTCTTTGCTAAACAAAAATCCCAATACGTGTAAATGCATTGGTTTACGTGAAAGTTATAGCGTTTACAACTGGCGATATATATACTAGGATTTTTTTTACATTTTTACTAGTAATAGTGGTGATCAGCGACTTATAGCGGGACTGCGGTGGACATTCTGACACTGGGGGGGAACTGACTTTGCTGTGCACAGCCATCCAAAGCAGTGTGCCTGAGCTTACAGGGAGGAGAACTGTTAGTAAACAAAACAGTTCTCCTCCCCGTCGGAGATCCTCAGTAATCAAAGGGCACCGGTGAGTGACAGCCGCAGCCGCAAATGGCGGCACGGGTAGGGTGCGCCTGCGCCTCGCGCATGCCCCCTACCAGGAAATACAAAATCACGTATATATACGGGATTTAGTGCACCTGTGCCACCCTGCAGCTGTATTTCTGCTATAGGGCGGTCGGAAAGCGGTTAACCACTTCTGCGCCGCCCTATAGCAGAAATACTGCTACAGGGAGGCACGGGTGCGAAAAATCACATATATTTATATGATCTTACAGTTCCTGGTAGGGGGCGCCACGATTCATGGCCTCGGCTGTCAATCACCGGGTCCCAGGCGGTGATTTCTCACTGGCACCCGGTGATCGCCGAGTATCTCCAACGGCAGATAAACAACACAGATCTCTCCGATGTCATCTCCTGCACACTACTTTGTATGGCTCTGTATAGCAGAGCCATACAAAGCAGTGTGCTTACAGTGAAACACAGCACACAGCCTCATAGTAAAACAGCACACAGATAACCCTTTGATCGCCCCAGATGTTAACCCTTTCATGCCCAGTGCCATTAGTACAGTGTCAGTGCTTTTTATTAGCATTGATCACTGTATTGGTGTCACTGGGGATGTCAGTGACACAAAGTCAGTTCCCCCCCAGTGTCAGAATCCCCGCCGCAGTCCCGCTATAAGTTGCTGATCACTGCCATTACTAGTAAACAAAAAAAAAATCCCAGTATATATACTGCCATTTGTAGACAC